CACACAAGAACCTGGACACATATCACACTACCCATATTCATTAGAGCAAAGCTGAGACGGAAGCAAACAGTTCATTGAATTAAATTTTCCTAAACAGAGTCACACACATTTAGACTGATGTGAGACAAACTACGGCTGGAGAGAATAGGCTTCTCAGTGGGGTTAAAAGTTCAGATGGGTCCCAACCCCTGACTGACCAGTACTGCTGAGTCATGACTTCATGCTACACACATCCAGTGCTGTTGCTTCACAATAATGTCATTTTAAGGTCTTTTGCCTCTGATGGTGAGATCTGGAAGGCTTTTATACCACAAATGAGCCACTGGCTAACAGGTTTGGCGTTCATTTTTGGCAACTTTTCCCAGACCACCAGCGGAAATCTTTCTGAAACCGTATCTATCATGGAATCTGATACTGCTGGAAGCACAAGGGTTGAAGCTGCATGTGACTAAACCTGCAATGAGGGCTAAATTGAGGTCAACAAAACAGCTGACGAACACAATACACATGGCCAACCTTTTGGATCCATTAAGAAACTCTTCGTCTGAGTGTGTTAAGCCAAAGGCATCAGATATTAGCCTAAGAAAAACCCTGTACTTCAGTGAAGACAAGACCTTCTGACCTTTTGTACAAAGGAATCTGCATGATTAGTGTCACAAATTTGACTGATTAGTGACCTAGATGTAGCATAGAATCCTAAACATTTCTAATTTCTTCTCATGTCTTCTCAAGTTTGGAGTCAGTAATATGTGTGTGTGTGTGTGTATAAATGACAGTAAAGTCATTTATAAAATGTCTTTTTATAAAAGTTTTTTTCTCTCAAAACATTCCATTTCAAATAAATGCTGTTCTTTTGAACTTTCTATTCATCAAAAAATCCTGGAAAAAAATGCATCACGGTTTACACAAAAATATTAAGCAGCACAACTGTCAACATAATAATAAGAAATGTTTAGAATATTAGAATGATTTGTGAAAGATCATGTGACATGGAAGACTGGAGTAATTGCTGCTGAAAATTCAGCTTCGCCATGAAAAATACATAAAATAGAAAACAGAAAAACACATAAAATAGAAAACGCATAATTTAAATTGTAATAATATTTCACAATTTATTATTATTTCACACTATTCATCAAATAAATGCAATCTTGATGAGCATAAAATCTTACTGACCCCAAACTTTTTAACAGTAGTGTCTGAATGGAAAATGATCCTCAATGCTACAGGAATTGTAGATTAGTTAGTGTTATGAACAATTTTAAGGTTTATTGTATGAGCACACACGTGAAAAGGACTACCACCTTATACAAAGGGAATAGGGAAATAATTCTTTACTTTACAGTAAGGTCTCATTTGTTTATTAACACAGGGCATTAAATAATGTTTACAGATACAACTTTTGATCTTAAAAAATATATTAAAAAATGTTGAGATAAACATTACATAGATTAATAAATGCTGTATAAGTATTATTAATTGTTAACTCATGTTAACTAATGTTAACAAATGAAACCTTACTGTAAAGTGTTACCAGTATGTTTTTTAGGAGACATTTAAACAAGCAAATCTTTAGCCATTGTACTGTAAGTAGAGGGTATATTGGAAACTGCTCAGGTTAATTTGACCTTAATCAAACTACATGCTGGCTGCTGCTGGTAGAAGGGTCTCTGCAGGCACTGCTGGCTTTCATGACAGTGTTATAGTGCAGCCTATGGGGGGCTAACACCTGGGCGGTTTTTGCATCCCCCAACTCAGGGAAAAAGAGAGAGAGAGAGAGGGTCAGAGAGGAAAAAGAAAGAAAAGGAAAAAAAGGCATCTGTTTAGTTTCACCAATCAATGGACGAAACCTCTGCAGCGGCCTGAACAAACACAGAAAGCAAGCTGTAGCAGGTGGTGGAAAGACCTATTAAAACTTCCTCTCTTTCTCATGTGAGAGGTCTTGTAGGGGCAGGGTCTCCCCTGGACAGACAACCTGTACCTACAGCCAGCTGTGAGCTCAACCTGCATCTGTAGGCCGAGAGGAAAAAACAAATAAACTGTACAGAGTGCGATTGCTAAGGGCAACGGCCAATCAAAGGCTTGTCAGCGGTTGCACTTGCTGAATAAATGACCTGCCTTGACAGGAAATTCCGCCAGCAATTTTAATTCTGATCAGGCTTCAAGGAAGTGGAAAGAATAAAAACACATCAGTTATAATGACAGGAAGTCTCCAATCACATGGCAAGCAGCTGTTGCCAGCGTAGGGATCAAGGAGCCATGAGAGGATGGAGGGATTCTGGTGTGAAATGCAGATGGAAAAAAGAAGATGAGAAGGAGAGCAGCGAGGTAAAGTCTGTGTTTCACAAAACACTCATTTCTAGTGCACCGCTTGCAGGTTTAAACCCCAAATCAGAGGAAACCAAATAGCAAAAACTGTGCTTCACATCACAACTACCAGCGATGTTATGCAAATATACCAAAAGCCGCTTGTTAGGGGTCCCGTCCATATGGAGATGTTTAGGGTGCTTTTCAAACCATCTGCATTTTATACCAGGCCTGGCTCCCGAGTCTGGGGGATGCAATCAAATTAGCCGAGCTCTTTGTGAGCTTCATTTTAACAAAGCTATAAATTTAAAAATGTAATTCAAATATGACACTTTAAATATGATTGGCTTCAGATATATGATTGAAGCCAATGGAGTACATTAGAGTACACTTGTGGAAGAGGGAGGCTCAGTGCTGACTGCTGTGTCGAGTTAACAAATGGAGAAGCCAAGTCGTCTTTGTGGTAGGAACCACACTTAAACTAATAAGGAGAAATATCCTGACATTATTCTTTTACAAACAAGCAAAGTGGCTTTGATTAAGCACTTTCACATTTCATAAATCAATCAGCTCGAGGAGTTTTATTAATACGGTATCATGCTACATGAGGTACGAGTTTACTATTTAACCATTTAAAGGAGTTGTACTCTTTCAGGATTCAACAAAAAAGGATTGCCGATTATGCTATTTCACTGTATCTTTTGTTTTCTTACCTTCCAAGCTTAAATATGGGTTTCAGTGATGTTTGGAATATTGTTGTTCTAAATAACATTACCATGGTATTTACAGTAAACACCAGAAAAATGTGGTTTATGAATTTATATCCTTCTGGACTTTTATTATAGCTGTTTTTTATTATCATTATAGCTGCATAGTTTCTACTAGTTACTATTGTAAATGAAAAATCTATTTTTTTTTCTAAAGCAAACTTACAAAAAATTAATTCAAGTATACAAAAAAAATTATATAAGTATATTTTTGTGAGATATTTGAACTAGTATCTAAAAATATGCAAATAAATAAATAAATAATGTATTTATATGTTTACAGGGCTAATAAAAAATATAACCAAAGTTGAACCAAAAGTCACTATTGTTGAGTCCTGACTTGGAAGGGAAAGTTCACTTAAAAATTATAATTCTTTCAAAAGAAGATATTTTGATTTAGATTTTTAAAGTAAATGTCACCAAAACTGAATATTATCAAAATCTTCTTTTGTGTTCCAGAGAAAAAAGAGAGCCAGGTTTGGAACAACCTGAGGGTGAATAAATGATGACAGAACTTTCATTTTAGTGTGAACTATCCCAGATATATTACTATTTAAATGTAGATGGATTTAGAAATCGGTCTACAAAGGATTCATCTACAATATTTTTTAAATATCATGCACCTGAACTGATACTGGACCCAACATTCTCAACAGAAAGGTGAAAGTAAAACGGTAGCCCTCCCCAGAAACGCAGACACAACTCCAAGTGATGTTCTGATGATAGAAGCCATCTTGAATTACCCGTCTGCATCCACTTAAAGCCTGACTCAATGCCGTTACTGTTCTGCCATTTCAAGCAGAGCCACTGATGGGCAGGCATCTTTTTTCAAAAAAGCCGTCCCCCCACCTCCCCTCTCAGGAAATGGAGGCCACAGCTGGTCAAATGAATCTTAATCTGCACAGGTTTGGAGCTCTTCAACGGAACCAGACGGTCAGGATGACAGCCCACCTGACAGCGATGAAAATCAAAGCTCTTCACCAAGCAGCCCCTTTCAATTTAACATAGCCCATTTCAGAACTACATAAATAAGTTATTGTAGATCTTAACAGTGTTTGACAAGGTGAGTGCATGTACAATTGTAATTAAATGTCTAATTTTGCGCTACATAAATTTCACTTCACACAACAGGCAACAACTGTATAGTTCTAACTCTAAAATGGTGCTTTTGAAACATCAGGAAAATATATTTGAATTACATTTATTATGTATTAAGCATAGGTTGTGACCTCACATCATAGTTAGCCAGAAAACCTAAATAGATTAATAGCATTATTTTCCTCCCCACAGTTCATGTGGTTATAGTTCAGAGTTGGGGAATAACTAACTGAAAGCAATGCTCACCACATTTTTCATTAGTGTGACAACCGCTCAGCTCTTTCCAAAATAACACAGGTTTTCCAGTAACAATCTACAATGTAGCATGACAAAGTGCTGTTTTTAAATTATGTCACATTATATTGTACATGCAGCTTTACAGCTGAACGAACTTGAATCACACAGGCCCTCCTAAACTGATTCCTTTCAGAGAATCGCTTCACTAGAAGATTCATGTAAATGAACTCATTCAAAATGATTCAGATTAATTTGAGTCAACGTTCTGTAGTGAATTTTTTTTAATGCTGCTGTTCATCCTTAAGTGTTAGTAATGCAAATGACTGTGTTTCTATTTTAAATTGGTTGAACTGTTTAGATTTGTGTTACTGGAATGAATCAACACTTCTTCTACCAGTAGTTATATATATCTGCCCCCTTAAATAGTTTCAATGTAATTAGCAATTTTTGTTTGTAGTTGCCAGTGTGGCTACTTTATCAAAAGGTTAGCTCAAATGTAGTTTAACCACTCTAGATTATAAATAGCAGCTAGACAATCAACAGTCTAGTTTAAAAGTAGCATCTTCAAAACATATTACAGTAAGTATCTACCTTCAGATTGATGAGCTGCTAGTGGTGTCTGAGTCTCTTTACAGTAGGACACCACCTCTCTGGGCAGGAAATCCACCTGAGTTATCTTAGAAGGTCCCAATCTATGTGTTCGACGTCTGGGGAGAGAGAAATACAGACTATGAATGTCCTACAACCTGACACAAGTTGCATGTGCATATAACAATTGACTGCATCACGGTGATAAAATACAATGTTACATCTAATATGCTGTAGGGCTCATTATTCAGGTCCATGAACATATTGTAAGTTTGGATGACCCTCAGTTGACTGCTAGAACTAATGTTTAAAGCATTCTATGTAAATGGCATGGTGCATCAATCACTGTCACATACAGCCCTGGGCACACAGCTGGAGAGTGACCAGCTGAAAACACTTGAACCTGACAAACTTAAAAAGAAAGGGGAATGAGATAGAGAAATGAGAGGAACAAAGAAAAAGTTGCATACACAATGGTACACTACGGTACAAAGGCAGTGCAATACCACACACACACACATTCACAAATATGAAAATGTAGATTATCAATGTAAAAAAAGTAAATTAGACATTAGAAGGGAACCTAGAACACAATCAGTCTAAAAACAAGACAAACACTGCAATAATATAATATTAATTCTTATTTTATTCATCTACAATTAAAGTTACTTTGCCTATGGACCAGTTACATTTTTTTTTATTTTATAAATCTTCTTGCTTTTCAACCAATAACTTCTAAGCTTTTAGTCATATATAAAATATGTTATACTCACAATATACAGTATAAAAATTAATATGGTTCTTTTGAGCTTTCTATTCATTTTAAATTGCAATAATTTTTCACTATATTAGTGTTTTTATTATGAATATTTTAACAAATTGTACAAATATTTCATGATATTAGCTTTTACAGTATTTTTTGATCCTTTAAATGCCACCTTGGTGAGCATAATGCAGCCTAAATATTTATTATTGTAATAATATTTTACAATATTGGTGTTTTTACTGTATTACCTAACTATCTATCTATCTATCTATACATAGATACTTTCAAACAAGAGTAGTCTGGACAGCATTTGCTGTAAAAAGTAATAAGGTAAAGTATAACATTTTAATTTAAACTCATTTTAATTCTACTTTTTAAAAATTAAAATGTTTGCATTTTAAATTATGCATTCTTTTAAGTCAATACAAAATAAAGAATTAAAAAATGAATTCACACATTTCTGCACTGAATGTAGGCAATAGGTGTCCAAAGAAATGCATGTACATCTGTTGAAAAATATTTGTACATGTAAATGTGTATGTGTATGCATTTAAAAGTTCAGCAGATCTGAGGAAAATGAAAGAAAGAAAGAGACAGAGAGGAGGAGATACCCGAGCTCAGAGTCAGCCTGCAGCTGAAGAACAGAGGGGTCAGTGTCCCACTGCAAGGTCCTGGAGGGGGCAGCAGGGGGTGTCACGCAGGGGACAGGAGGGAGAGAACATGCAAGATTAACCTCAGCAGAAACAACACCATCATACACACACAAACATAAATATCATCGCACACACGCCATCAAACAACACGCCTCATGCAAGCCAGGAGAACAGTGAGAAAGGACCAATCAAATCAGCACACATGGGGAAGCAGTTTGAAACAATACTAAGGAAGATCATGCATCGTGTTTATGCACTTTTCAAAGGATGGCATGTATGTTACTTTAGAAGATGTATTATATGAAAGGGGTCATGAACTGAGAAATCTAAATTCCTTTAATCTTTTGACACATAAGAGATCATTGTACTATAAAAACATCCTGTAAGTTTCAGAACTCAAAACTTTCTCGTTAGTCTAAAAACAGCTTATAAATGGCAGGTTGTGGAATCTGTCACTTTATGACGTAATAGTGCGGCTAAACACTGCCTCCGCAGAAAAGATCAACACCCACTTCTACATCACTGCCTGTTTAGCCCCGCCCACTGATTCGCGCATGTAGTAGATGAATAGCGAGAGGCAAATGCAGGTCTACACAGAAACCAAACGATAAAGATGGCAACAAAATGCTTTGCAGTGCCAAGCTGTGGAAAAACACAGTCTTTGCCTTGCCTTCCTTCTGATCCCAACATTAGGAAAAAGTGATCAGTGGATGAATTTTATTTTTAATGAAGTTCCAGATCACGTCAGTAAGAACTTGGTCCTTTTTCACTTCCTTTTATAACAGATTTGTTTATAAACAAGGCACAATTCGACGCAGTATTCAAAAAGATTGAAAATAAAAGATGATGCTGTGCCAAATATATTGGATCTGACAGTAATGTCACACCACACATGGTCACTATTACTTTGTCTGTTATTACAGATAGTTTGATATGTACTGAGTATTTATGCATTTTTAACCTAAATCACAGCAGCGTCCATCTGTGAAGGATGTAGGCTGTCAAACATACACAACTGTTAGCCAATCATAGCAGTGGGCGTTTACTTCCGAGTCTACAATCCGCCACGCCTATTCAAACAGAGCGTTCTGATGAGGGGGGTCAAAACAGGGCAGAAAATAGTTTATTACTTCTAAATCATCACGCATTTTGATGTAAAAATCTTGATAACATTATAAGTGGACCTCAGAGAACAGTACAAAATAAAAAACAAAGGCAGTTCATGACCCCTTTAACATTATATGAGAATCGAATGGGGAATATGTCACCAAATCTTTCTTAGGTTAGAAAATTAAATTGTGGGATGGAAATGTGAACAGAGTTATGAAAATAAACTGAATAAACCCTTACAAAAAGTTCCATAGTATTACCATGGTTTCTGAATGTGGTAAGACACATTCCTAAATGTCTCCGGTTACCTAACGTAACCTTGGTTCCCTAAGAGGAGGGAACGAGACACTGCGTCATCGAAGATGTCGCTTTGGGGTTATCCTCGAAACTACTGAAGCCTTATGAAATCTCGCCGGCGAGAATTCACCAGCCAATGGCATTTAAGCATGCAAAATAGAGGCGGGCTCCCCGCACTATAAGGCGGCGCTAAATGCCATTGCCTCAGAATCTTTGGACTGAAGCAGAGTGCAGCTCACAAAGACTCTGAGCTATATAACAAGGCAGCGTACGCAGTGTCTCGTTCCCTCCTCTCAGGGAACTGAGGGCACATTAGGTAACCTGAGACGTTCCCTCTCGAGTCGGTCTCTCCACACTGCGCCATTGAATATATCGCTTTGGGTATCTCATAAAGTCTCACTGTGTTGAGAGCCAAGGTACAGATCGGCTGCAAGCAAAGCCATTGACCTCAGCTAAAAGTACTTTAGGAAGATCTCATAAACGGAAGATCTCATAAACGCATAACAGCTATAAGAGCAAGTTACACAAGCATTAGACTACTGCAAACACATCGCAGATTAAAGGTCTTGCCTGCATCCTGGATTAACCATACACTCACTGCCAGCATTCATGACGGCACTTGTCTCCAGACTGCATTAACAGCAGCCATTCAGCACCACAGACACATGGATAGGCGGCAGCAGTATCGCCTAGCAATGTTTACCCCGGGACATGTAACATTCACAGTGTGAGCACTGCACTATCACAGTGTGCTGGTGGCCAAATAATGCATGCGGCAGCAACACAGACACTATTGCATAATGTTGCAACCGGTGGCAAGGCTGACCGAGCTGTGAGGTTAATGGTGGCGGTCATGCCAACACCTAGTACTGATGTCCACTGTAGCGGTGATGCCAGTGCTGTCGTGAACATAATGCTCTGAGTCGAAAACTGCCAACTTGGTAGGGCTGCAACAGTTTAAGACAAATGCTGAACATTGATTTCAGCTAGCTTGATTCCTGCACGGACAATGCATGAGTTGCAAAGAACATTCAGGCTATAATAACACATACAGGCTATAGCAACACGCATAGGTGCCTCATAGCCCACCTGGCATAGGTTTTTCCGCAAAGGTTACTAACTATGTGGGAGAAACCAACAAAACGATGACAGATTCCTGTCTGTAGTTTTACACCGTGAATGTGTACAAAAGCAATGAGCACAGTTATAACCCACGAGGGTGACCATTCACGCAGAAAGGTAGCAATGTCTGCACCTGTAACAACAGACTGTGAATGGCTAAACGACCTAGTTGAACACCACTTTGCAGGGGCGTCAACATCTATTTGACACCACCCACAATCTCAGTTCAAGTTGTAGACATAATCTTCTTGCAAAGGCAAACTCGCGATGCGAGTGAGGAAACATTCAAATCACAGAACTGGCCAGAGTGCCCAGTATGATTTGATCGTGTAGGTGGGCGAGAGGTGATCAGCCTTCTTGTGCCACTCGAAATTCTTATTGACAGGACATTCTGCCGGGCAACTATAAATATGGTGTCATGCCGTTATGACGGTATATACTTAAAACAAGGAGGGTATACAGTTGCTGTCCAAGTACTCTTGCAAAAAGTCAAGGTGACTAACAGGGACTATCTAGATTTGTGTTACTGGAATGAATCAACACTTCTTCTACCAGTAGTTATATATATCTGCCCCCTTAAATAGTTTCAATGTAATTAGCAATTTTTGTTTGTAGTTGCCAGTGTGGCTACTTTATCAAAAGGTTAGCTCAAATGTAGTTTAACCACTCTAGATTATAAATAGCAGCTAGACAATCAACAGTCTAGTTTAAAAGTAGCATCTTCAAAACATATTACAGTAAGTATCTACCTTCAGATTGATGAGCTGCTAGTGGTGTCTGAGTCTCTTTACAGTAGGACACCACCTCTCTGGGCAGGAAATCCACCTGAGTTATCTTAGAAGGTCCCAATCTATGTGTTCGACGTCTGGGGAGAGAGAAATACAGACTATGAATGTCCTACAACCTGACACAAGTTGCATGTGCATATAACAATTGACTGCATCACGGTGATAAAATACAATGTTACATCTAATATGCTGTAGGGCTCATTATTCAGGTCCATGAACATATTGTAAGTTTGGATGACCCTCAGTTGACTGCTAGAACTAATGTTTAAAGCATTCTATGTAAATGGCATGGTGCATCAATCACTGTCACATACAGCCCTGGGCACACAGCTGGAGAGTGACCAGCTGAAAACACTTGAACCTGACAAACTTAAAAAGAAAGGGGAATGAGATAGAGAAATGAGAGGAACAAAGAAAAAGTTGCATACACAATGGTACACTACGGTACAAAGGCAGTGCAATACCACACACACACACATTCACAAATATGAAAATGTAGATTATCAATGTAAAAAAAGTAAATTAGACATTAGAAGGGAACCTAGAACACAATCAGTCTAAAAACAAGACAAACACTGCAATAATATAATATTAATTCTTATTTTATTCATCTACAATTAAAGTTACTTTGCCTATGGACCAGTTACATTTTTTTTTATTTTATAAATCTTCTTGCTTTTCAACCAATAACTTCTAAGCTTTTAGTCATATATAAAATATGTTATACTCACAATATACAGTATAAAAATTAATATGGTTCTTTTGAGCTTTCTATTCATTTTAAATTGCAATAATTTTTCACTATATTAGTGTTTTTATTATGAATATTTTAACAAATTGTACAAATATTTCATGATATTAGCTTTTACAGTATTTTTTGATCCTTTAAATGCCACCTTGGTGAGCATAATGCAGCCTAAATATTTATTATTGTAATAATATTTTACAATATTGGTGTTTTTACTGTATTACCTAACTATCTATCTATCTATCTATACATAGATACTTTCAAACAAGAGTAGTCTGGACAGCATTTGCTGTAAAAAGTAATAAGGTAAAGTATAACATTTTAATTTAAACTCATTTTAATTCTACTTTTTAAAAATTAAAATGTTTGCATTTTAAATTATGCATTCTTTTAAGTCAATACAAAATAAAGAATTAAAAAATGAATTCACACATTTCTGCACTGAATGTAGGCAATAGGTGTCCAAAGAAATGCATGTACATCTGTTGAAAAATATTTGTACATGTAAATGTGTATGTGTATGCATTTAAAAGTTCAGCAGATCTGAGGAAAATGAAAGAAAGAAAGAGACAGAGAGGAGGAGATACCCGAGCTCAGAGTCAGCCTGCAGCTGAAGAACAGAGGGGTCAGTGTCCCACTGCAAGGTCCTGGAGGGGGCAGCAGGGGGTGTCACGCAGGGGACAGGAGGGAGAGAACATGCAAGATTAACCTCAGCAGAAACAACACCATCATACACACACAAACATAAATATCATCGCACACACGCCATCAAACAACACGCCTCATGCAAGCCAGGAGAACAGTGAGAAAGGACCAATCAAATCAGCACACATGGGGAAGCAGTTTGAAACAATACTAAGGAAGATCATGCATCGTGTTTATGCACTTTTCAAAGGATGGCATGTATGTTACTTTAGAAGATGTATTATATGAAAGGGGTCATGAACTGAGAAATCTAAATTCCTTTAATCTTTTGACACATAAGAGATCATTGTACTATAAAAACATCCTGTAAGTTTCAGAACTCAAAACTTTCTCGTTAGTCTAAAAACAGCTTATAAATGGCAGGTTGTGGAATCTGTCACTTTATGACGTAATAGTGCGGCTAAACACTGCCTCCGCAGAAAAGATCAACACCCACTTCTACATCACTGCCTGTTTAGCCCCGCCCACTGATTCGCGCATGTAGTAGATGAATAGCGAGAGGCAAATGCAGGTCTACACAGAAACCAAACGATAAAGATGGCAACAAAATGCTTTGCAGTGCCAAGCTGTGGAAAAACACAGTCTTTGCCTTGCCTTCCTTCTGATCCCAACATTAGGAAAAAGTGATCAGTGGATGAATTTTATTTTTAATGAAGTTCCAGATCACGTCAGTAAGAACTTGGTCCTTTTTCACTTCCTTTTATAACAGATTTGTTTATAAACAAGGCACAATTCGACGCAGTATTCAAAAAGATTGAAAATAAAAGATGATGCTGTGCCAAATATATTGGATCTGACAGTAATGTCACACCACACATGGTCACTATTACTTTGTCTGTTATTACAGATAGTTTGATATGTACTGAGTATTTATGCATTTTTAACCTAAATCACAGCAGCGTCCATCTGTGAAGGATGTAGGCTGTCAAACATACACAACTGTTAGCCAATCATAGCAGTGGGCGTTTACTTCCGAGTCTACAATCCGCCACGCCTATTCAAACAGAGCGTTCTGATGAGGGGGGTCAAAACAGGGCAGAAAATAGTTTATTACTTCTAAATCATCACGCATTTTGATGTAAAAATCTTGATAACATTATAAGTGGACCTCAGAGAACAGTACAAAATAAAAAACAAAGGCAGTTCATGACCCCTTTAACATTATATGAGAATCGAATGGGGAATATGTCACCAAATCTTTCTTAGGTTAGAAAATTAAATTGTGGGATGGAAATGTGAACAGAGTTATGAAAATAAACTGAATAAACCCTTACAAAAAGTTCCATAGTATTACCATGGTTTCTGAATGTGGTAAGACACATTCCTAAATGTCTCCGGTTACCTAACGTAACCTTGGTTCCCTAAGAGGAGGGAACGAGACACTGCGTCATCGAAGATGTCGCTTTGGGGTTATCCTCGAAACTACTGAAGCCTTATGAAATCTCGCCGGCGAGAATTCACCAGCCAATGGCATTTAAGCATGCAAAATAGAGGCGGGCTCCCCGCACTATAAGGCGGCGCTAAATGCCATTGCCTCAGAATCTTTGGACTGAAGCAGAGTGCAGCTCACAAAGACTCTGAGCTATATAACAAGGCAGCGTACGCAGTGTCTCGTTCCCTCCTCTCAGGGAACTGAGGGCACATTAGGTAACCTGAGACGTTCCCTCTCGAGTCGGTCTCTCCACACTGCGCCATTGAATATATCGCTTTGGGTATCTCATAAAGTCTCACTGTGTTGAGAGCCAAGGTACAGATCGGCTGCAAGCAAAGCCATTGACCTCAGCTAAAAGTACTTTAGGAAGATCTCATAAACGGAAGATCTCATAAACGCATAACAGCTATAAGAGCAAGTTACACAAGCATTAGACTACTGCAAACACATCGCAGATTAAAGGTCTTGCCTGCATCCTGGATTAACCATACACTCACTGCCAGCATTCATGACGGCACTTGTCTCCAGACTGCATTAACAGCAGCCATTCAGCACCACAGACACATGGATAGGCGGCAGCAGTATCGCCTAGCAATGTTTACCCCGGGACATGTAACATTCACAGTGTGAGCACTGCACTATCACAGTGTGCTGGTGGCCAAATAATGCATGCGGCAGCAACACAGACACTATTGCATAATGTTGCAACCGGTGGCAAGGCTGACCGAGCTGTGAGGTTAATGGTGGCGGTCATGCCAACACCTAGTACTGATGTCCACTGTAGCGGTGATGCCAGTGCTGTCGTGAACATAATGCTCTGAGTCAAAAACTGCCAACTTGGTAGGGCTGCAACAGTTTAAGACAAATGCTGAACATTGATTTCAGCTAGCTTGATTCCTGCACGGACAATGCATGAGTTGCAAAGAACATTCAGGCTATAATAACACATACAGGCTATAGCAACACGCATAGGTGCCTCATAGCCCACCTGGCATAGGTTTTTCCGCAAAGGTTACTAACTATGTGGGAGAAACCAACAAAACGATGACAGATTCCTGTCTGTAGTTTTACACCGTGAATGTGTACAAAAGCAATGAGCACAGTTATAACCCACGAGGGTGACCATTCACGCAGAAAGGTAGCAATGTCTGCACCTGTAACAACAGACTGTGAATGGCTAAACGACCTAGTTGAACACCACTTTGCAGGGGCGTCAACATCTATTTGACACCACCCACAATCTCAGTTCAAGTTGTAGACATAATCTTCTTGCAAAGGCAAACTCGCGATGCGAGTGAGGAAACATTCAAATCACAGAACTGGCCAGAGTGCCCAGTATGATTTGATCGTGTAGGTGGGCGAGAGGTGATCAGCCTTCTTGTGCCACTCGAAATTCTTATTGACAGGACATTCTGCCGGGCAACTATAAATATGGTGTCATGCCGTTATGACGGTATATACTTAAAACAAGGAGGGTATACAGTTGCTGTCCAAGTACTCTTGCAAAAAGTCAAGGTGACTAACAGGGACTATCTGTCCATAAAGTAGATATGTTCAAGCCCAAAGATATAATCCAGTGCCCTGGCCAAACCTGTGTGAGGGTCTGTCTCAATGCCCTCACTTGAATGCACATTTCAATAGATATATTATGACTTAATGCACTGCACAGCAGAACGATCCGGACACAAAGTCCATTACAGTTCCTCTTGGCCACAAAGAGTGCGGGACGTGAGAACAGACATAAGAGAGCTGACAGTCTTTCTATCGTCGCCTTATGTGTGAGAACAAAGCAAAGCACACTGCCAAAGTCGCAGCCATCAGCCTGAGTGCTTCCTGGGAACTCTTAAAGGCAGAAACTTCTCGGCTCGAAATGAACGGAAGTATAAGTTACAAACTGTGAGCACCCCTGTGAAATGCAAGCTCGCATTACAACAAAGCCCAGTTGCACTCTCTGGGTGATTGAGAAGCAGAAGTCTGTGGTGGTTTAATACTCCCTGAATGGACTATGTCAATCGTCCAGAATTATTTAGCACACAAACTCCACTCATTTAGAGGGGAGAGAGCTGCATTCAATTATTTCATGAATGTACACATTTGAGCAATGCTGGACTAACGAAATGCAGAGCGTGGTAATAATAAGCAACAAACATATTGGTGCATACAACATTAAACCAGCTCTTACAAGTGACATATTCACAGCGTCCAGCATAAATCTGTGGGAAGAACCAAGTTCATAAGCACAAAAACAGGGCAGATAGCTACATCTGTAGCACCTGAATACTGCTGAAATAATAGGACACAGAAAGCGGTGTCATGAATGCATCAGTTTTGCATATGCAGTAGCTATTAACAACAATGCGAGAAATGGCACTGCACATCGGCCTATACAACCTAGTTGAAGCATGTGCCAGAGAGGGGCATAGCCACGAAATCTCTCAGTCATCCAATGGCTGCTCAGCCGTCTTCCCCTGCACAGACAGAACATGCGGTAAGAATAAGGGGAATTTTCAGGTAATTAAATCTACCGGAAGCGTTTTGCGAGGACCAACCCTCCGCAAAATAAATATCCCGAATAGACATGCCTTAGTTCAAGTCCGAGATGCCGCAAGACTCCTTGTGGAGTGGAGATGAATCTCTATTGGGCAATTGACTCTATGAAGCAACATCAGAAACACTCTTGATGCTCTGAAAATAGAGGCAGGCATTCTCCAGATGCACTGAAATAGTAGTCCTTCGGCCAGCCTGCGAGAGGATCTGTTTCAGCGCAAGCTGTCCGGGGGAGCGTTCTGATAATGCACTCGCTGTCCCCGGAAGAGCATGTCACGCCTCCGTACAATCCGACATGGACAGAAGCACTTTATGCTTTTATTTGGAACTTTATCTTACCAGTGAAAAGAGTTTCAATACAGAATAACTTTCTGTATTCTGTCTTATAGCTGTCAAGCCACACAACGGAACAGTCAATGCTCAAGGGTAACTAGTTTTTGATCACAAAACACAGCGTTTCGGCCACGACCGTTCTCTGGAGTCATTGCTGGTTCAGGCCCTATGCAAGGGGCTGAGGCGGGGCTAGATAACAGTTGTGTAGAGCTTAAATAGAAAGCGATGACCAGCGGCAGCGCCAGCGTGCACAGTAGCTAAGGTACACAACACTACACACTAGGGCTGCGACGATAAATCGATGCAGAATCTATTCGTGGATCAATTCTGAGATCTTCCGAATGCATCGCGATTCTCTCTGGAATCGATTCTGAGCATAGATTTTAAAAGCAGATAGCGCGCTACTGTAGTTTTTATCCGCACACTCAAATGCTCATGAAGAAGAGCGCTGAAGAGCGCTTGTGCGTTCGGCTGAATCATGTAATTTCACCTCGGCTCAGAATGCTTTTATGACGAGATTAATGTAAACACAGCCCACTGTGAACACCCTTGTAATTCGCTTCAACCTTTTTGAATTTTATGAATGATTATTTTAGGTTCAAGTGTGTGTAAGGATTTGGAAATGAGCAG